GAGATGTTTGCCAAAAAGAATTCATCAGGAGGCTGTACGATAGCTGTGGTACATTCCTCAGCCAAGTTCCATGGACTGAAGCTGTTTTTTTTTCTGAAAGCTCTGGTCCAGAGTTGTCATGAAGCGGGTAAGCTTAGTTGAAATGCGAAGGAATCTGGTGGAGTCCTTTCGCCCCTAATGCAGATGGTTACGGTAGCAAAATCAACACTGGAAGAAACAAAGTTCTGCGGTACGCCTCATCGCACCCGCAGTCTCTTGGAACATCGTAGCTGCCTCAACGCCTGGGCAATTTTGTCAAAAGAGTCAAAGGTTGGGACTGGGCGAACTTTCACGCCTTCATGCGGCAGTGCTGCCTTTATACAGTTATTCCTGTTGGGTTTACCAACTGGTGCTCCCGGGGCAAATGGTGCTGCCGGGGATGGTTCACGGAGAGGCACTTCTTCTATCTCCAGTTACTTCTTCAGCCAGTCCATATGGCAGGAACGGTAGGACAGCTGACCACAGGAGGACCAGATGCGATTGCCTTGCAGTACCCAAGTAAAACCGCCTTCTACCCAGGTCCCACAGCTTTCATAATAATGCAGAGCAGCTTCAGTGTTTGGTACGTCAATTCTCATCGAGCCGAACGCAGCCCGCTGCTGGCACTCCTCAGGCCCCTTCTTTCACACCCCATTGTTTTCGGTCCTTGCTGCGAAAATGGGCTATATTTCTGAAAATAGCTATGTGACTTCCAACCTCTCCCCAGCTCCAATAGGTAATCCTTAACCAGGGCCGTGAAGTCAACCACGGATGAGTTCACCGCTCGCCTAAAAGGCAAATGGCAAGATAAATTCGCAAGACTGGTGGACTCATATGCAGGCCGAGCAGACAGAAATTAACGCCTTTTCCAAGGAAGGTTCCCCTATAGCGCCCTATTACGATGCCACCTACCTACCCGCAAGCTCACCGCGCCCGCCCCCACGAGTGTCCGACCAGTGCTGAGGATCGTATATTGCTTCACTTGCTGAGTAAAATGTGAAGCGAAAGGATTGACATGAAGCGCCTGCGGTGCGGTAGGGAGATATTAATACTTACGTGCAACCGTGTCTACCATAGGGGTTATTGCCAACGGGAAACTGGTCCGAAATCTTTTCTCAGTCGTGGAGATCCGAATTTTTATCACTTCACTTCTCTTTTTTCGCCGTTTTCCCGCTATGTAGGACACTACTACCATTTTAGATCGAGTACCAAATTATCACGCCTTATGCTTTCAAGCCATATAATGGTTGCTTGTGTTTCTTCAGAAACCAGCTAGCAAAGCCGAGGAAGTCCGAATGCGACCCGATGATTACTACAAGGAGAATCACATTGATCTCATGATGAAGACCAAGGTTGGTGACTGATTATTCACTCCTTACATCTTACAGGAAATTACCATCTTGTGTATAGTGGAGGTACAGGTAATGTCATCGAACACTTTAAAACAATCGCCTGAAAATTGGCATTTTGGTGAAAAGGCATAAGAAAGATCAGTTCCAAGGCCGTCATTTACGGCTAAAATCAGCATCAGACTCCGTGGTGGCGTGACTCAGGCCTTCATGCATCCTATCAGGGGGCATGAATACGAGTTTGCAGGGGGCATGAATACGAGTGTGCTACACAGGTTTCATTCTTCTGAAAATAAGCCATTTTCAGGTAACCTAAAGTTGACCCCAATCGCCGCAATATCACACTGGAGACTGGAGAACAATTACCCTATAGCAAACTCGTATTGGCACTGGGTGGTACGCCAAAAAAGCTGTCGATTCCCGGAGCTGATCTTAAGGTTTGTTGAACACTGCATCTCCATTGTCTTAGGAAGACAACCGTGATCTCTCCTCCGAGGACTTCTTGTCATGTGTTAGGTGAAAGGATCCGCAACTGCAGTAACGTGCCAGTCTCTCCTCTCACAAGGGAATGGTTTCAACTTCCCATGGACTATTAGCATTTGCCTTTAAGGCGAGACCGTTACCACTAGGCACTGCCTAGCAATCGATCAGCAGCGCTTACGAGCCAAAACTGAGTTTTCGCAAACTTTGACCACCCAGAACTCGTCTGGGAGGTCCCCGTAGCACTTGTCGATGTACCTAGGTCTCCATTCAAAGTTCCATGGGAAGTTGAAACCATTCCCTTGTCAGAAGTGGAAGGGACCAGGACTGGGCGGTGGTAGTACCGGGTGCTGTCTCCCGACTCTGCTTACACCATCTTCGACATTCGAGCAGTAATTGGGTCGGATAACAAGATGCCGCGGCGAACACACGCTGAGGGGTAGAGCAGAACAGGGAAAAAGGGCGGGCAGACAAGTTGTTCTTTTGGCTAGGTTGGGCGTGTGGCTGGACGTGCGCACGGTGACTACTCGGCAAAAACTTCCATCTCATTGTTACACTGGCCTTGCCCGCTTTCAATACACTTTTGAGCAAAGAAGAATGGGTCACAAGGAGTCAGGGTAAGGGTACCGCCGGTGAGTAGTGCTGTTTTGTATTGGGTCACGTCAGTCATGTTTCATAGAAGCCTAAATTTTGTCAGTGCTTCCTCGAGTTGTGTTATCTCGTCTGCCTTATTTATGCGTAGAGATATGCAGATTTGGTCGTAGACAAAAGACAGCTTTTATTAGGTTGGTCGAAAAGTCCTGCGACACTTTGTTTGAACTATTCTAGAAAAAGACCAAAAATCATTTTGAATGTTTTTATCTCTGATTAGTGGAGAATGTCTCCTGAGGTTTCTGAAAATGGGTATATCATGGCTCCGTGGAAGTTTTCAAAGCTTAAAAATACCTCAAAGATCGAGGTACTCCTCGACCTGTCCCATATTATGAGTTCCTGTAGGGCAACTCCCCCATAGTCGAGGAAGCTAACTCTTACGTTGTCTTAAGGAAGGATATCGCTTGCCATAGCAGAGAGTTCCTTTTGCATCAGCGCTTTCCAGGCTGGGACTTATTCACTCGAAGTAGGCAATGTATAGGTGGGCCACCAGCACAGAATGACGGCCCTTTACTCAAGCTTCTTGAGGCGCAGCCGAACGTAACCACCAGTAAGTTGGCGACCTCTCTAGGCTCCACCTAACTGACAACTGCCATGCTTCTCCGCAGTCTCGGTTATCGGAAAAAATTTTTATGAAGGATGCCCCATGAGTTGAACCCCTCTGACAAGTCATACCGTATGACCGTGACTGGGTTTTTTTTTCCTTGTACACACTGGAGGAACTTTTGTGAGATCTTGTGGTTGGTAGAGAGTGGTGGGGTCCTTGCGTACATCTTGCACATGTTCCTCGCAGGATCTCTCGAACAGAAAAGTAGATTGCACAGCCAAAAGCACATGTGCATGGGAAAAGATTTCAGTAGGTTATTGGTGGGACTTCAAAGCGGTATCTCTGGATACTAGCATAACGGTAAGGACTACAGTCCTCTCTAACCGACCTCACAACATGGATGAACGTTCTCAGCTGAATTCTTCAAAAATACTCAATTTTTCTCTAGCGCTCGGCATTGCGAAGACCGCATGTTAAGATCAGGCCACACCAAAAGATCGTGGATCTCGATCTGAGAATGCGACCATACCCAGCTTATTCATCAAAGTTAGCAGTCTCTAACTACTACCTTTTTTGATCCCTACCTCATCCTTAAGAAGGCAAAAATTCCGAAAATCGACGTCTACTCAAAAATGAGGTCCACCTCTTCTTATCATAGTTGCCGTAGTTCTAGAAGAATGGAAATGAGAAGCTGTGCAAAAGAAGGGCACTAGTCCTAGTCCTTAGTGGTGATAACCTTGTCGATTGGAGATGTCTTTTAGTGACTGAAAATTTAGTCCGAAAAATTGGTCAAAGTGTCGCAGGACTTTTCGACCAACCTAATATGCTGAATGCTTCCCTGTGTTTTTTAAACCTGACCAATCCTTGCTGTGTCGAAACAAAGGTTATGCGATTTCATGAATGTGTTTTACCTTTCGTGTGGTATCTGCGATGCGAACCACCAATCGCTGGCACATCGGAGGGAAAACAAGTCGTTTGCATAGGAGCATCATTCATAGGTACTGTTCTTGCCTCAATAGGTGTCCACTGCTGAGTTAGGGTCAGGGTACAGCATCGTGATGTGTGTAATGGCAATGTCAGTATGCCCCCCCGAAATGCTGGTAGCGACCCCCCCATGGTATTTCTCTGACAAGAAGCGCAAAAATATCTAACCAGGAAACGTCGTGAGCTGGGGATCCTCAGCGAACGAGTTGTATTTGGGGTCGCTAGGAGGGAGGAGGCCCTCTACTCGTACTAGAAGGACGGGGAAGGGGTGGGGCTTGTTTTGGCAAAAATTTTGCCCGTCAAACGAGGACGTGCCCGTGTGTCCTAGTAATCTGGCACTTTACTGGAGGGGACGGGGAGATGGTGGGGCTGTTTTGTCAAAAATTTTCCTCAACGAAACAGGACTGTTGCCGTGTGTCTAAGTATCTGCACCAGCCGATCAGGTCACCGTAGCTCCACCGTTTAACCAACTCCCCCCTCCAGCCCCACGATGCATTTCGCATACAATTCTGTACTCTGCTCAGCTCGATGTTGTGTACGGCGAAGGCTGTTCACAGTGACACTTTGAATCACAGCTCTGCCTGCTGACTAAGACAGCGTTCAGACTTCGCGATGGTAGCGCCTCGGTCGCGCGTTCGATGCGATCGATGCAGTCGGAAGCATGCCGGTTGCGTCGCGTCAAACGCGCGATTCGGAGACGCTGCTGGTCGCGAAGTCTGAAACGCTGCCTAACGAAGCTTCTGCGTTTTAATTGCTTTCACTGAACGGAGATCAAGTGCTTTCACAGGAATGGAACTTTCATCCGCTCTGTCCAAGATAGCGGCGTCTGTAACTGTTATCTGCATGACGGAAGAACCATTACCACCGCTCGGAACAGATATTGGTGCTGCCCTAAGAGAGGTGATCACAGTTACAAGTTCCAGTTTCTTTGCAGCCTCTTTTCGTAACTTGCGGAGACAATATTTCATTTTATATTTTCACCAACATTTACTTCTTTTTCAGCGTTTTGAAGCGAAAGGGGTGAAAATTATAAGGAACATGACTGCAGAGCGACTTGAGGGAGAAAGCGAAGTGACTGGTGTTACTCTAAAATCGGGCGAAACTCTACCAGCACAAGTGGTCGTAGTAGGAATTGGTAAGCAATTTTTTCGGCGCTGTTCGCCTTACCACGGAATTTGCGAAACGGTTTTCTGGACGGAGTCATTGAGGGTTTTTTTCACAGTTTTTCCTTGAAGGCGTGGTGGCGCCGAAGGAGCCGGCTACCTCTAGCGCGCCAAATAATCAACTTCGAGCAAAACGGGCTGTGATATCCGTGTTCAGAGGGAATGGCCATCTAGCACGGAATTTTGGTCCCAACTACGAAAAAAGCTTATGGGTTAGTTACTCCGTTCAGAGAACCGCTTCGCAAATTTAGAGGGTAGATTTGAGTTCATTTCAAGACTCGTAGAACTGTACACACTGCAAATGGTCGGACAGAGCTGCTGACCCTCGCTAGCTGGTTAGAGGGGTTAGTCTTGTGAGTTCGCAAGTCTTCAGTTTCCTTGCTCGTTGAGCTGCTTGAGGGACGTGTGATCTCCTGACAACGGTTTTAGTTGGCACGAGTCTACAGGTCTTTCACAAGATGACCCATTCAGCTTCGCTGTGTGCCATAACTAAAATTTACGGGGTCAGCTTCGCTGTGTGCCATAACTAAAATTTACGGGGGCTTAGGGCTTACGGGTTTCCACGCTGATGGGGACTAGTAGAATGCCCCCCTCCCCGCCCAAAACAAGCAACGCCTTTTTTTATAGAGATGAGCAAATTATCTGCATCACCAATGCTCGATACTGTTGGGTGTAAATATGCACAGTGTCGGACCAGATGCAGGGCAAGTGTGGTGGTTTTCCATTTTTTTACAAATTTTCAAAATCTCCCGGCAAATTAATTCTTGACCGGGGCCTTCCTTTAGTGGAGAAAAAGTCCTGCAACACTTGGAAGGATAGTTTTGAATTGGATATTCCTTCAGCGATAGAGAGCTCTAAATAACAACAAAATTACCATGGGTGCCTGGGGTAAGTGTTCATTAATAAGGTAGCTTTTCGTTTCTGTTCTCGCGAATCCCGGCGAGTAGGATGAAAAAAAGGCCTCGATCTCCTCACGTTGGCGCTTATCAATAATCTTATTTTCCAATTGATGCTCTAAAGGCGTAGGTAGAAGGTAGTCAGAAGCTGCTAGGCTAGGTTGAGTAAGCTGAGTGTGGTTTTACTTCAGAATTTTTGGCTGCCGTGGGACACATGACGGCGCTGGCTATCGTTGAGCTGGAAGATATCCCTTTTTTGGGCAAAGCTCACAAATAACGTCGGCCATTTTTTGAAGTCAATTAGAGCCATGCACGT